CATTGTCTTTGTTGTCAGGAATCTAACTTCCTGGTCACTAGTAATTAATGATCCAAGAATAATGTTTAACACTCATTACACAACTGTTTTTAAGAACTTAAGTTATAAGGAACAATTGACTTTTGCTCACATTTTCAAAGGAGCCTACAGAATTACAATGAACCCACAAAAGACTTCAGGTGCCTCCTCACCAAAGCAGTGTCTACAGGTCTCACATGCTTGAAGAAGAGTGGAATTTCTGTACTTCAAATGAAACTCACAAAGCCTACCTCAAGGACGGCAGGTTAGCTAAGGCAGTCAGGCTCACTGCTGTGCCCTGGGGAATAAGGGGCCTTCATAGATGCACACCACTGGCTTTTCTGAGATTTTTTTTACCGTTCAGTAAACACAGTGATCACCCAAGACACAGGGAACAAGCTCATTACCTGCCTCTGCCTGAGGGGATGCAGGTCAGTATCCCATACTCATAGGAAATTACTCAAACCAGTGATCAGCAGACTGATGCAGGATACTCCATCTTCTCTACTTCAACTGAAACAGTTAAACACTCCTTGAGAGAGAGATGGAGAACAAGCATAACTCTTTTGCAGGTATTCACCTAAGCAAAGGAAAATCTGGAATACCTTCTCTGTTCTAGTGAATGATGATACAATCTATACTAAAAAGATATTAGATAAATTGACTATATAGGTAACATTTTAAGGCCTGCCACACAGGTAAACATGCTCAGATGGGCAGAGGAATTAAATCCAGGTGTCTCACGTCTTTAGCTAACACCAGCTACTGAAGTACAGAATGGGGATGGGGAAACCACTGCCCCTTCCTTCTGGCTCTAATTAGTAAAGACAAATATTCTCACTCACAGGTCTGTACAGGAAAAGCACTTGTCTCCCACATGCTGGCTGAGTGCTACTGACCAGTTGGTAACTAAGACATGAACAGGATGCTGTTACGTCCCATCACAGAGTATAGAGAAACATCTGAGCAGACAATCTGGTATTTAAAATAGAACTATCAGCTGCTGTTTCTTCTGAGTAGTGCTATCAGGTTCCCACAATGGGAGGAGGCTTGGAAAACAAACAAACAAACAGAAGTGGGAAACTACATTAATTGGTAATTGTGTTATTTCCTTTCTCTAGAGCACCTTTCACCAGCTGCATCACAACTGAAGGTTAACCCAAGTTGGAAAACTCATGGAATAGGTTTTTCTTCTAAGATCTCCCAAACAACCTTCTCAGCTATCCTAGAATATGTGTCAACTGGAAAGAAAATTCCTATTGCTTTCCTCCATCTATGTCTTAACAAATTTCATTCCACCGTCCACTAGGTTCCCATTTCCGTGTTCTGCCATCTGGATCTCATCTTTATAAATACAAGTTACATTCACCCACTTGGCTCACTTCATCTGTAGAGACTTGTTAAATGGCTTTAAAGATGATTTACTAAAAAAGCTAGAGTTAAAGATTTAACATGAGAAGAGATTAATTTAAGTAGAGAACTTTTTACTTTAATGTCAAAATTACGTTACCAATGACTTCTGGCTTCTCACATTCATCAGCTGATTTCTGCCTTATTCACATTTGTTCTCTGGCTCTATATGCCTGTACTAGCACATTAATTACTCAGAAGGCACACAAGTTCACAGCAATGATCTACTCACAAATTTCAAACACCTGAAATACGAATGTATAAAGTCCAGAAAAAAAAAGAAGAGTCCAAACACTAGTGCTTTGTTTCTAAAGCAGTATGGAACACACTAACTGAGCCCAAGAGAGTTAAAGTTTAAATTAAACTAGTTTTCTTTTGCTTACTGAATTGTTTTTCACCAAAACAGCACCAAACTCCAACAAAGTAACATCAGTCTGAATGAATTTACTCAGTTATTTCAGTTATATTTTTAAATGGTATTAAAAGTTTGTACTTAAATGCCAAACTCTTTTTCTAAATTTGAGGGGAAAAAAAAGAGGAAACACCTTGAAAGAGTTACAGTAGTAACATAAACTGCATGCCCACTAATTGCTCCTGCCTCCTCTGATCAGCACAGCACAGAGCCACCTTCTTTCTGGTTTATGTTCTTATATCTTCAGTAGCTCAAGTGATACAGGTCCATGGTTGGAACAGAAATTTTGCAATTTATTCCTTAAAATGATGTACAGGACTGTATCTTTAAATGTGTTTTTCTACTTCCATCTGTAAGAAGCAGGAGAAAGCCAAAGTACAAGGGAAAAAAAAAAGAAAAAAGAACAGAAAAAAAAAAAAAAGACAGAGCCCTGAGTTTGCTCCTCCTAAGAGTACATGGCATCTATCTCCTTAAGTTCTTAATATGATAGGTAAACACCCTTAAAGATATGATAAGTGAAAGACTAGGGATGAATGAAAACAGCTGCATTCTTTTCCATCCTCTTCATCTAAATCTAGACAAAACTGATAAGCCATACCAGTTCAGGGCTCTGTATGCCCTGGCACCTGCTACAGTAACTCTGCCCCAACAACATGCAACCAGTTAGTCAATAGGGAGCTCTTTTTGATCTTTAATTTAAACATTCTACAAAGTACTTCAGACCCCACCCAGCAATCAACAGGTAGATGCTGGAGCTGTAGTGCCATAAGCATTCTTGAGATGCCCTTTTGGCAAAGGAACCCCTGCCCTGTGCTCCAGCATCAATCTGAAAATGATTTTTTTTTTAAGTGTAGTGAAAAGGTGCCAGGTCAAAAAAAGCCCAGTCAGTCAAAAACCTATCTGGATTACTTCTGAAACATGCTGTCAAGCAGCTGGGCTAATTTTGACCATTAAAGTTTTCATTTGACTAGAGATCTAACAGCAGGCCCACTGTCTTCAAGGACTAATATTGCCTCTGGCTGCTTCTCAATACCAACCAGCAGTCCAACTTTTTCTGGGCTAAACTTCAGTCTGTTTGTCCAACCCGAGCTAGGCACCATCTGGGACACAGAGCCACACCATGCTCAGCAAATGGGCTAGGCAAGTCACACTGTCTTCACCGTAGCTACCTGCAGACTGAAGGAAAACACTGTTGAGAAGTTCTCCAACATCCCAAAAGTGACCTCAAAACTTTGAGATTTGGGAGCCCTTTACAGCATATACCTAACAGATTTCCAATCTTATGTCCCAATGCATCTCCTGCTTTAGTTGGCATTTCACTCAAAAGACGGAAGAAAACAGATGCAAGCTGGCCACTTCGCTGTTTCCTAAGACAGTCATGAAATGCAGACCATTGTAACTGCTTCTCGGTCTACACTAAGGGAACAAACCCAAACTCTGTATCCACTGTATTTGCAATTACTGAGACTGCAAAAACAATCGAAAGAACTGGGTTTGGCTTGGCAATAATTTCTATTCCCTCCATAATCTTATTTCAGCTGTTTTGCGCTGTTCTCTGTACCATGTTAAAAGCCACCTTACCAGGACCCCACCACTTTCCCCAATCTCAATGCACTTGTCATCAAGATGAATTACCACCTTGCATTAGTGGTTCAAATAGCCTCCCGATAGGAACTGCAAGAAGAGCAGAAAATGGTGCTAAACTCAAAATGATGTATTATCCCTAAAATGCTACAAACTCACTTGTCAGGGATTGTAATTAGAGTTGGGCCAAGGCAATGTTAGCTCAGCTGCCTCTGAACACACCTGTTGCAATTTAATTTGTAGTAATTAGGAAGCCTCGGGCACCAGGAAAAAATGCTTTTCAGTTACTGCTTTTCAAATAGCTGAGTTTTCATGTGCCATTTAAAATCCTGTTTTTCAGAACAGACTGCTGACTTGCTAATGCTAGCAAAATGAAATAAAGCAAAATATTTTTAGCAGCAGGAAGTTGTTACTTGCTACTGCCAGTTACATGCCTTGTACTTGAACAGTGACATTTTTTTCCCCTTTGCTTATTCTTCAAGATAGGTAAAAGCCGGCTTAGGTCTCAGCGCATGAGGATTCGAACAAAACTCTTAGTCCCCCGGAGCTGGCCGACACTTCTGGAGTCATAGCCAACACTGGCAGCAATCTGCTGTGACAGAGCAAACAACAGTGTCCTAGATCCACTCTTCAGAAAAGGGGGAAGGAGAAGATTAAGCAAGAGACTTGGATCTATTGACTTTGGCAAAAGGTTGAATACCTTGTCATGCTAATAAAATTACTGTATTTGGGGAGGAGAAAATGGGGCAGAGGGGGGAAAATTAAAAAAGCATTAAAATTACATAAGAATAGATATTTATACTCTGAGTTAATTTATCAAACTGACACTGAGATGAATCATCCACCATTAAAATAACGGGATACAAGTTTTCTTTATATCACAATCGTTATTTACAACTCTTAAATACTCACGGAGGAGTCAAGTATCCTCCTCTTTTAATTTAAAAAGTGATCTTGCAGACCAAAATAAAACTGTTGGCAAAAATAAGTTTCTACAGGAACAGTGCCCAAAGAATGATTTCTTCAAAACCAGGACAGATCTTAACAATCACGATGGCACGTTTTTTGTTTTTAAAAAAACCCTACCCTATAAACCACACAGGGCTCAAGCAACTCACATAAAGCCAGATTTGAGTAACAAAACAACAAGAATGGGTAGTAACAAGAGTCCATGGAATAGCTAGACATAGCTACTTGAGACTTTTAAACCTCAGTTATTTTTTTGAGGTGACATACAACTCTGCTTTGATGCACGTTCATTCCCACATGCTCAGAATCCAACCGAAGCCAGTATGGTTCCTCTCAGTGAACTAACTTGAATATATATGCATGTATTTCTGCAAGTCCATTATTTTAATAATTGGCCTTTTTCTGCTCTAATGCCATTAGAAAGACAACCATATCACTGCATATTTTTCCATCTTAAAACTCCCCCTTCTCCCCCCCAACTTATCTGGGAAATTCAGAGCAATGCTTCCTGAATACAGTTTTGATTATTTAGGAATGCTTTTAATATCATCAATCATTATTTTCCATAGACTGACAGGGATGTGTATTTAAAAACAGGGCAAGAAAACAGAAAAAGAAACCCATGTGATAAAATTAATGTTAATAGTCAGCACCATCATTTCACCACTTCAGTGAGCTTTATGGAATATAACAGTGTCTACCTGAAGCTGTGCTTATATAACGTATATGGGACACCCATATACAAGCCACGCACAATCTTAAAACCACAAAAATCAGGAAGTACATGAAAGCTGCATCTTCTTTTAATTGTTTGTCTTTGCTGCTTCAACAGGTAATTTTTTTACAATCCAGGTTTTTAGTTTTTCTATTTCCATTCTGCTTAACTCATGATTAAGGTTTGGAAAAGTATGAAGTGATGCTGATACTCCCAGTGACTTTAACATCTTGTTCGTCTCTTCACCCCATGAGTAGAGAACCAGATCATCAGCAGTTCCATGACACTGAAATAACTCTGGAAGAACACTTTCATTTCTTTTCAAAGCCTAGATGGAGAAGAAAGAGTCAGACACATCACTAAAAATTTTAAAAGAATAGTTACAATTACATGGTGATAATTTACATAGCATCACATTTATTCACCTGCACTTTAGTGGTTATATTGTACTATCTTTACAAAAGCAAACAAGGAAATACTGAAAAAAAACCTCTGCACTTCAAAATCCAATGTGCTAACTCTTGACAAACTATAGGGTTCACTTTAAGGTCTATATCCCTCTCTGAATAAGAGAAATAGAAAAAAATTAATGACAGCAGATGGAGCCCATGAGTATTACAATTCATCACAAATTTTCAAAGAATAATTACACTTACATGGACTTTCAAACAACTAAGGACAACTTGAAAAGCATTTGATTTTTTAATCTGCCTTCTATACTGACTGACTTTGAATAAAATAATTGTCATGTCTGTTCAAAACCATAATTTAAGGACAGCTTTAAAGCCTCACTACCCTTATACTCTGCGTATCTATGTCCAGGAAATGTCGTAAGTTTAGAGTATTAATCAATTGCCTCAGATGAATAAACATGGTGTACTCAATTTTAATTATCATGTTTTTTCTTTTAGCTAACCAGTTTTTCTGTGAAGTCTACCACAAACTCACCTGGTAAACAGCAGAGTCTTTATTCAGGAAACTAGACAAAGCAAAGACTCCTGCCAGATCTTGATGAAACCTATATGCTAAATGCATTGCCATTCCACCTCCCATGGAAAAGCCTCCTAGGATGCAATAAAAGAAACAAAGATTGGATTTGGCTATATGCCTGTGTAACCCAGTGTACAATTTATTTTTATCTTCAGACTTGCTTCTTCTATATACAATGCAATCAAAAAACCATTCTGAGTAACATAAAAGGTTACAATGATCTTAAATCAAAGCATAATTTAATTAAGAAGTTGGATAGCTAAGGTACTGTTGAAGATTCATTACTGAGAGAAAAATTAAAAAAAAAAAAAAAAAATCAGCCAAAATACCATTACTTTAGAAGCCATTCATCTATGGTCCCTACCAGGTAGTCGAGCACTGTGGCCATATATTCTGATGTTAACAAAGCAAAACTCTACAAACAGAAAATTCTCACTGCTTTGTTATTCAACTTATTTTTCCCCTAGGCTAGTAGCATTCACATGTGAAAGATCTGTATCACTATTGCACGTAATCATTGAACATTCACCGCATTAGACTAGTACACAGGTTGAGGGTTTTTTTGGTTGCTACACCTCAGTATATGTGATAAATAGGGAAAAATTGATATGTACCCCATCTGAGCTCTAACAGGACCTCTGAATTAATGGCTTCTGTGTTCCTACATCTCATCAGCTGCACTAATTCCTCACGTGAGATAATTCCTCAGGGGTGATTTTTACATGACAAATGCCCATTCATTAGGAAAGAAATCCAGACTACCGCATTACTTCACAAGGACACAGTACATAGGCTGTTATACTGACTGCATCCAGGTAACGACTAGGGTGAAGAATGACCGGCTGCTGAAATCTCTTCCAGCACAGAGATGTCAACCAGCAGAAAAGTTATGACTTCAGCTCTACTTAGAGCGGCGTTACCATCCAGGGTACCAGTGATACAATGGGTTTGTGCCAGGTAGTTAACTGCTGTTAATTAGCTGCAAAATTCTGAGCCCAGGCCTTGCCGAAGTTTGACATGGGTGCTAAATGAAACCCAGGCAGGAAGCAGTGCCCCATGCAGCACTGAAACCAAGCCCAATGACACCCTGCAACTTTGGTACTTCACCGGAACCTGGGACCACACAGGAAATCTCTGGCGCACACAAGCTCAGAGGTGGAAAATGCTGCACTTTGTAAATATTAGTTGGGTCACGGTGAGACTGTTCCTAATGGGGAATCTGCCTCCAGCATGTTTATCTGCAAGTCCCAGCAGGTCTAAGGCCCATCTAGCTCTCACTCCATCCCACATTAAGACTGGAAGATTTGGCTGGATTTGTGTAGGAATTTTCCCTGAAATCACTATACTAATCCAGACATGAAGTTTTCTTTCTTTCTCCCACACCACATTATTTTTTTGATTTCTGATTAATTTCTGGTAGGTATTTCTACTGGATTTCTGATTCTTCTTTCTACTTACTGTTACCCTGTAGTCTTAAGAGACAATTATGTCCAAAAGCGGTAACTGCAGGTTCCTGATTTACAGGACCTGAATCTTACATAGAAAGAGCAAGACTACAGAACGTGAAGACTGGAGTCTTGCTTTCCTTTTTCAAAGTCCTTAATTGAATTAGGAGAGCTGTATCCTGAAACCAGGACATATACGTGGGATCCCTTAGCTATGCACCCAGGGGGCTGATAATACCCTGATATTTATCTTTGGTAAATAAAGCCAGTACCTGCTATTTACCCTCTGGATCAATCTTTAACCAGTTCAAAGTTAAATGTAGTATGTTTAAGTGCCCAGTGGCAGTTCAGAAAGAAAGGAAGTTGAGGAAAAGCAGAACAGCCCACATCACCTGAAATTTTGAATAAACTTGTCTTCACAAAAAAGAAATTGAAAATACTACTGCAAGCCTTTCATTTGCATCACTATTTCCTACCAGACATATTCTCTTGTTATGTGTAAAACAATTCTGCAATAAAAAAATATATGTACATTGCACAAGTGTCATAATAATCACAAAAATTCAACACCACTGACGCCACATGAAGAGACAGAGAAAAAAAAAATACAGCCTTCTGAGAAAGTATATAAAATACAACAGCTATGCAAAGTTACTACGTAAATAACAACATCTTGTGCTGAAGTTTCCTTTATAGTCTCCTGTGGAATCTGATCATTTACTTCTTTGTTTCCTTGTGATCATTCTGAATGATGCTGTCATCCCCAAACCCAAAAAGTAGCATTTAGAGTATGAGACACCATTCTGCATTAGATTACAAATAAATAGAGATATACTTTGTCCACATATAAGATGAAGTCCATTTTAAGTATTTTAGAATACAGGAAAAAAAGCTGCATTGAAAACTCATTACTAGTTTGTAAATGATTTAATCTAAAATTTTGTACCCAGTTAGTCACAATTTGGCAACACTATCTGCAATTACTCACCAGCAGTCTTTGACAATGCAGTCACCTTCTGTTTAGAAGAATATTAGGTAATGGTTCTTTTATATGGCTCATACTACTATGAGAAAATGTAATACAAAGGACTAGTTCTTTAAATTTGGGTTTCCAGGGGAAAACCTAAAGTTTACCACTCAATACCACAACAATCTCTTGAGTAAATGTCATATAGTAAATGCTTCAGAAACAACATTTCAAATAAGCATTTGTAGTCCGAGACAAATTTTTTTTGATTACAAGTATGTCAGTATAAGTGTAAATTTGATATAACATAAACAACATGCTCAGTCAAGAACTTTTATGAGAATTCAAATTTTGGATTAAGGAAAAATAGGAGGCAGGTACAGATATTACACAAAACAAATGTATGAAGTGACAGTCAGAATGTAAGCAGATCACAAAAGTACAAGTATGCTTATGTACACCAATGATGTCAGCACAAAGAATACATAAACCTCACAGCATTGCTAAGCAGATTGTGTGACGACTGTTAATCAAGATCAAAAATGACATGGCAACATTTCAACCTTAGATGGGCAGAACATAGCAAGCCCTTTGCTTGAGACCCATCTATTTCCAAGAAGTACAACGGGCATGCACAGAAGTTCAGAATTTGCCAACAGGTTTCACATAAAAAGTACATTCATTTTCCATTTACCCCTTATATGTATTTTTAAAGACAGCTGTGATTAATGCTTCAAAACAGTTAAAAAGTGTTGGCTCTACAACGCTCAGGATACCAGTTCAGGAAAGCATCTAACTATTTGCATTAGTTTTCCTGCCTTGCAAAGGAGGTTACAGGCTAAAAGGTAAGCACATACAAACCAGACTCAATTAAGTAAAGCACTTTCCTTTCAGTTGCAAAGAAATTTCACTCAAGTATGCATTTATGACCTCAAATCTGCTTCTGTGGAGTGCTGGTTTCTAGGCAATACCCCTTTTCAGTGAGAAAAAATCTGCTTGTAACTTGCTTTGTTAGTTGAGAAAGATCTGCTGAAATCACAGGATCGCCACACTTCCAAATTAAAGAATTTCAATCAGAAGGAAACTCTGATGCAATCATTTACTAAAACCAAAACATTCTTTGCTGGAGTACAATCTGTAACTATGTTGAAGTAACCCCCACCATATGATGATGTAACACAGAGTGAATAGACACTGAATTTCTCATTGTAATTTATTCCTGCTTGTAGAAATGCACATCACAGCTGCCATTTTTCAGTGATAAAACCTTCTTTCCAGAGCTTGTAAATGGCCTTAGGAGCCTTTTAAACATCAAAGTGTTTGTATAAAACCTTGAGCTCACTTCTGCTAAAGATCTTGATTTATATTAATTTGCACCTCATTTGTATCCATCTGAAATGATAATCTGGTCTATGACAATGCTTCAACATTATATGGAGTTCGGGAAACCAAATATTTACCTACTGTCACACTTCAGCTTTATTAATTTCTTTGTATTTGATCTAACAATGTTTGGGTTTGTATCTCAGAAAATGACTAACTTTATTATCTAGCACAAAGGTTTCTTTATTTAGTCTGTCCCTCTTGTGTCCTGTATACATGAGAGCATGCTAAAAACTCTGCCTTCTCCCCTGTGCTCCACTTCAGTGCCTGTAATGACCTATTCCTGAGTTCAGAGAGCTCTTTAGGTTTTCATTCTTCTTTACAGAAAAATACACCTCTCTAACAAACACAGGTTTGACATTGCCGATTGCTTCCTGAGTCCTATAGATCTGACTGTAAAATGCCTTAGTCAATTTGTTATAGGTAGTGATTATGGACTTAGGGAAAACCAAACCAGATCACTTTTTCGGTCTTCCCAGTGTAATTTTAAAACATGATCAAAGCAATTTTCCACACTAGAAATCACAGCTGTAGGAAACAAATTTTAGTTATTAATCACATTTTGTGCATGAATTCTGCCATCTGCATTGAATATAGATCTTCTGCTCCTTGCAAAGACAGACCTTGAGCTCTTCTTGCATGAATTTGAGTGGCAGAGGTAGAAACTGCTTCGTTACAGTACAGAACCAAAAGAGGAAGAGAAGAAGCTAAGCCCCAGACTTCGAGGAGATAAGGATTCGGACTTGGGTGTAGGGATGGGTTTTGGGGTGTTTATTTTAAGCAGCATTTCTTCACTAGTTTCTCTCTAGCAGCTGTTCTTCATCTTCCCGGTATTTCTTCAAATTTGTCAGTACAGCTTTAGTAACAAAGTGGCAAGAGATGAATGCTAAAGCATACAGTGCCTGTGCCAGCACAGTGCAAGGAGAGACAAATACTCTTCTGCTGTATAAGGCTACACCAGCAGAGTTAGAAACTGTCTTTGCCCATTCTGTTATCATCACAATACATTACATACTCTTGCCTCATTTTCTTTCCACTCTCCCAGCAGTTTTCATTCTAACTTTCTCCTTTCTTTAGATATTTTAACTTAGAGTTACTTTAATCAGTTTGTTATCAGGAATTTTTCCCTAAAGCTACATTTCAGTTTACTTTCCGCTCTCCCTAGGGACTTTCTGCGATTTACTTTCTATTAATGGTAACAGCAAAACCTTGTTCTACACATCATCTGCAAAGAAGCTGACTTTCTGTTTTGACCTTCCTTTTTCATCCATGAATAGAA